TGCAAAGCAAAGAGGGGGGGGGGGGCTTCTTTTCAAAATGAATGCTGTAAATTAAGTGAATTTGTACTTTAAAACAATAAATAAGACCACTGTATCATCAATCTGTATCATGGAGTATATTTAACTGGCATTAAATCACCTAAACTACTTTATAAACCAAGCTTATATTTAATTTATTTTGTTTTCTAAAATTCATGTACAGTGTATGTACTGTACCATCTCGAGAAGAAGCCTATGCTATCTTGAAAAGAAGCCCATGGGCCTCTTTTCGAGGCTAATTTTGCAAACTTGAGAGGTGGCTTCAATTTGTGATGGGCTTCATCTCGAGATTAAGCCCACTGGACTTCTAGGTTTTATGGTAGGTGAGTAATTTATAAAGAATAATTCTTCTTGTGTTTCAGTTGGTTGGCTGAAATGCAAGTTCCAATAGCCAACGTCTTTTCAGACGTTTAACACATTGGTCCCATATGCATTATGGCCCATGTATGTGTTACAGAATGCAGTACACTTTTAGGAAAAGAGTAGGGGATGGTCTCCTGGCAGTATATGGCACCCATAAGAAGGACCCTGCTAAAAATAAGACTTTAGATTTTGTGGGCCATCCTTGTTGTGTTCCGCACCAAAGAAACCACACCAAATCCACTACTTTGATAAATATTATAATTCTAAGATAATTGCCACACATTTCTACCTGATATGGTTCATAGAACAAGTCCTTGATTCCAGCTCCCATGCCCTGTACAAAGCCAAACGGATTGCCGATCACATCTAGGCCTAGTACCAACACATACAACTGCTTGACGGCTTGATTTGAATAGTGCTTTGTTAACTCCAACGTAAGCTGTGGTTGGCTGTAGAACTTGAAGCGTCGTTCAAAATAACCAAGTCTTAAGAAGATTTTTGGCATATTAAATAAAGTTAATCTCATATTAAAATTATTTAATCTGATAATTGTCTGATCCATTTTTATTACAATTAACTTTTTTATTCAATTTTATAATTTTTATTTTAAAACTTGTTTAGAATTTATTTTTCACCTGTGATTTAATGTTAATTGGTGTGTTTGTATGTTAACATAATTTTGTTGAATTTTACCTTACTAAACTTTTATGCTTTAAGAAACTGAAACATTTGGAAGAACAGTACTGTGGTACTAATGTAAATTCAATCAAAAAGAAAAATAATTGAATAAATGTTATGTACTCTGTTCTATTACCAACATGAAAATCATTAAAATAATTGTAATTATACAAAAAAAAATCAATATTACATTTATGAGAAAGTTTATCCAATGAAATCTCACCTAAAGATGACATCATCAACATTAGTAAGGGTCACTCCCACACTTTGAAGCAACAGATTGACTGCATTTTTGCCAAGTTTCATTCCAGGTTTTTTCCGGGTCTGGAAGCCACCTTCTTCAGCTCCAGCCTCGGCTCCCGTATTCGCTAATGAGAAGCTTACATGTATCTACAACAGTAATTTATTCAATTAATTGATTAAATTAAAAATTACAATATTTCACCCCGCAAAAACATATTTCTTGCCATTCATGCTTCAGTGCAAGAAATAAAAAAGCAAATTGAAATCGATGAAATTATTAAGATTTACCTTTAGTGGTGATAAGTGGAAGTTGTCATAATAGTTTCTGTCCATCGACATAGCAGCTTGGACCGCCTCAGCCTTTATCAGAGGTGAAGTGACTACCTCAATATCATCTTCTAACAGCTCAGCCTGGTGAACAAAGACAATTATTATTCCAGTATTGCCTTTCACATCGAGCCATCAAGCACATCTCAGCAATTACAGGCTGGATCAATGCTTTATAAGGTAAGTCTCTTTATGAGGTTTAGGGAGTGTTGTTTTAGGAGATACGAAAAAAAATAGGCTCCCTGCAGGAACGCGTGTCTATGCCCTAACTGTCTTACTATTATGTTTACTAATAAAGTATCCACATGGGATTCGGAAGTTGTATTTTTTTAATGACTTTGGTACAGTAATATGGTACTTAAGAGGGCACATGACCCATCCTGCACCTCCACCGGATTTACCCTTTCAGCCATTTGCCCGAGGGGGCAAAGACACAAAAAACCTGCAGTGACAGGGTTTGTCACACCCCTTTAAAAATTACTTGTGCCCCCCCCCCCAAAAAAAATATTCACACGCAAGTAGTTAAAAGTCACCTTATT